GTCAAAGAAAAGAGAGATTGTCTTTTCTAAGAATTGCAATGCATACAATTCATGGAATGATAAAGTTGAAAGATTGGAGGAACTTGACAGATGCACCAGGTGTTTGGGTAATCACAATGTGAAGGATTATTATGCCAAATTAAACTTCTGTTATCAATGTCACAAAGGAAGACACCATATAGTCATGTGTAAAGGTCTATATGATAATAACGATAATGTTGACAATCCTGACACAACGGTGGCTAATGTAAAAATTGCTGCTAATGTTAATAATGATGGTTTTGCTGAAGTAGCCTTACCTGTGTTACAGGTAAAAATTGATGATAAAAGGCATAAATAAAAAAAAATGTAACTGCATTATTAGACCAAGGATCCCAGCGTTCCTTCATAAAACGTAAATGTCTTGATGGTATGAAAGTACAGATGGGAGATCCCACAACTTTAAAATTATCTGGTTTTCTCTCAGATAAAAGAGCTCAATTGTATGACACTGTTTATGTAACTGTCAGGTTGGGCAATGAGAAAAAACGTGTTAATGCAGTAATTGTAGATAGACTTCCAGATAAAATATCTATAGTAGGGCTTAGTAAAGCTACAGAAAGACTCTCACATAATGTAAATTTAGCACCTTCTGGGTGATGATTCTGTAGGCCCAATAAATATTTTGATAGGTAGTGACTATTATGCCTCCTTTGTAAAGGGTATGGTAAAGAAATGAGGTGTCACCCTTTTGAAGACTGCAGGAGGCCATGTAATGTATGGTAGGATTCCTCGTAATAATAATTCATGACTAGAGGAAACTACAAATACCATAACTGTGTCTTACTCACGAAGTTGTACCCCAGTATAATTCTTCCATAGAGGATACCTGGAGTTTACCTGGAGAGAGTTCCGGGGGTCAACGCCCCCGCGGCCCGGTCTGAGACCAGGCCTCCTGGTGGATCACAGCCTGATCAACCAGGCTGTTGCTGCTGGCTGCACGCAAACCAACATACGAGCTACAGCCCGGCTGATCCGGAACTGACTTTAGGTGCTTGTCCAGTGCCAGCTTGAAGACTGCCAGGGGTCTGTTGGTAATCCCCCTTATGTGTGCTGGGAGGCAGTTGAACAGTCTCGGGCCCCTGACACTTATTGTATGGTCTCTTAACGTGCTAGTGACACCCCTGCTTTTCATTGGGGGGATGGTGCATCGTCTGCCAAGTCTTTTGCTTTCGTAATGAGTGATTTTCGTGTGCAAGTTCGGTACTAGTCCCTCTAGGATTTTCCAGGTGTATATAATCATGTATCTCTCCCTCCTGCGTTCCAGGGAATACAGGTTTAGGAACCTCAAGCGCTCCCAATAATTTAGGTGTTTTATCTCCGTTATGCGTGCCGTGAAAGTTCTCTGTACATTTTCTAGGTCGGCAATTTCACCTGCCTTGAAAGGTGCTGTTAGTGTGCAGCAATATTCCAGCCTAGATAGAACAAGTGACCTGAAGAGTGTCATCATGGGCTTGGCCTCCCTAGTTTTGAAGGTTCTCATTATCCATCCTGTCATTTTTCTAGCAGATGCGATTGATACAATGTTATGGTCCTTGAAGGTGAGATCCTCCGACATGATAGTGTTGAGCCAGTGCATAAATTGTGGGAATTAGACAGCATTGGAATAAATCTATATGAAGAAAGTCCAGATGATTCTTTTACTCAGGATCAATATCTGAGAGATGTAAAATTTGAATCTGGACAATACTGGGTACGACTTCCGTGGAGACTGAACCATCCAGAATGGCCCACTAATTACAGAATGGCATATGGACAATTAAAGGCTCAGCTCCGCGAACTAAGTAAGACACCAGAATTGTTAACTGCCTATAATGATATAATTACTGAACAATTAATTAATAAATTTATAGAAGAGGTACCTCCTGAGCAAGCCAAAATTTATGGCCACTATTTGCCCCATCACGGAGTGAAGAAGGATTCTAAGACCACTCCTTTGAGGATTGTGTTTAATTGTAGTGCCAGGAGTAACAAAAATGTACCTAGTTTAAATGACTGTTTGATGACAAGTCCGTCGTTGGCGGAAAAATTAGGAGATATCTTATTAAATTTCAGAGTGAAGCATTATGCCTTTACGGCTGACATAAGTAAAGCTTTCCTAAGAGTGGGTTTACAAGAGGCTCACCTGGATTGTACCCGCTTTTTATGGCCTGAGAATCCTAGTGACCCACTTAGGCCTCTGAAAACCTTTCGCTTTAGGAGCGCATTATTTGGTGCTACATCCAGTCCGTTCCTACTACAAGCAACGATAAATGCACACCTTAAACGTATGGGAAGTCCATTGAGTAAAGTAATGAACAAACAATTTTATGTGGACAATTTCCTGGGTGTGACGTCAACTGAAGAAGAACTGTTAATGACTTATGGAGAGGCTAATAAAATAATGCAAAGTGCAAATATGCCTCTGAGGGAATGGAATAGCAATTCGTCCAAATTAAAGGACAAAATAAGTAAAGATTACCCTGGAGATGAAGTGCCAAAATGTAGTAATGATTGGGTTTAACTTGGGATACTGAGAGAGATTTGTTAATGTTAAAACTAAAAATTACAGTATCCCCAATAAATTAACTAAGAGAGTTTTGCTTGCTGAAGTTTCCAAATGTTTTGATCCACTAGGTTTAGTGTCACCCCTTATTATAAGAGGGAAATTTTTAATACAGGAAGCATGGAAACTTAAATGTGCTTGGGATGAAATTCTACCTGAGGAATTCATTAACAGGTGGGATGAATTAATTGGTGATTATGAGAAAATTCCAATGTTGGAGTTCCCACGCCAGGTGGCCAATCCAAATGGGAAAAATGTACTCCACATTTTTTGTGATGCTTCAAAATTGGCATATTCAATTCAATTCAAAGTTTATTCTCTATAAGGATTACAATGCTGAGTTTGCAGAATTTGGTTATTGTGTGGTTTACATGTAGTAAAATAATGATTACAGAGTGCACCACTAGAACACCTAGCATGGCTAGGTATTTCTGGCAGACTTAGTTTAATTCTTAATTTTAAAATATTACAAATTATGAGGTAAGTTGGTATTATGGCTAAGTGACTAAATACTAGTTTGTGAGTTTAGCAATGTGAATGCTTTTGTTTTGGCACAGTACATAGTATCAGTATTGGAGTTATCAAGGATTCATTTATTTTAAGATTGAGATTAATATTTCTGTTTATGGTCAAATGGGTGAGTGAAAGTGTGAACCACCAGGTGGTATTCGTGTAGTTAGTCGAGGGGTGTATCAGGGAGATAGATGTTTTCTAATGGTAGTTCTGAAGGTTTATGAATGTTTCTGCGTTCTCGAGTTCTCAGGTAGGGTGTTCCAGATTTTAGGGCCTTTGACATACATTGAATTTTTGTGAAGGTTTAGTCGGACATGGGGAATGTCGTAGAGATGTTTGTGTCTGGTGTTATGCCTGTGGGTTCTGTCACAACTATCAAGAAAGTGTTTTAGGTCAAGGTTGATATTGGAGTTTAAGGTCCTGCAGATGTAGACTGCACAGTAGTAAGTGTGGATGTACTGAACAGGAAGTAAGTTTAGATCTATGAAGAGTGGGGGGGGGGTGTTGCCAGGGATGGGATTATAAGTAAGTAAGTTTATTCAGGTATACACAAATACAGTTACATAGAATTATCATATATAGCAGCATATGTGTAGAGAACCTAGGATAACCCAAAAAAGTCAGACAGAGTGACTTATTTCCATTGGGGTCCTTGTACCTTATTATTATAGTATAAAGGTTATAATATTTTCTTATTGTTCTACAATGAAGATAACATCTTATTATCATACTAAAAAGACTATCTGCGACACCAAGGTCATTAAGACTATCTACAATACGAGGGTCATTACAAGGAATAAGGTAAAAAATTTACACGTATGTTAGCTAAAAAATAGAAAATCATTCCCCTCCCTTTCTGTAGCTACATTCATCAGACACCTTTTGGCACTCTTCTTGAACTGGTTCACGCTATGACTGGCTTTGACATGTGCGGGTAGTCTGTTCCATTCCTTTATTGCTGTACAATAAAAGGTGTTTGAAGCCTGGCCACTGACTGTGGGTACTACAAAGTTGTGCTCTCTCCCCCTAGTTCTATGATTGCTTTGGTTCCCAGCCTTGACAAAATTGACAGCAAGATATTCTGGACATTGCTTGTGAGCAATTTTATAAACATGATTTAGTTTCAGTTGTTTTACTCTGTCTTCAACATTCAGCATATCCAACTGCTGTAATTCATCCTGGCCTACATGTTCTCTTGGTCCCAGCCCCAGGATGAATCTTACGATTTTGTTCTGGGTGATTTGCAGTCTATCTTTCAGTTTTTTTGTCAAGGCAGAGTACCAAGAAGAGCAAGCGTAATCCATATGGCATTGTATAAGGGCTAGACATAGAGTCCTGCGAGCCTCAGTAGGTAGACACTGGCAATATAAACACAAATGCAGTATAATGTCGGTATTTTATACCATTTATTTCCAGGTAGACACTGTGCTTAGCCCTTATACAATGCCATATGGATTACGCTTAGTGATTATTCTTACTGCGGCTTTTTGTTGGGTTATTATTGGCTTTAGGTGTGTTGCTGCAGTTGAACCCCAAGCACAGATAGCATAGGTGAGGTATGGATATATAAGTGAATGGTATAGTGTGAGAAGGGCAGTGGTAGGTATCGAAGGGGGACATTTTTGCGACCTAGGTGTTCCAAATTCCTACTTGTCTAACTGATAACTAATAATTATCTGTTCATTTATTGTTATGTACATAATGATACATTTAGATAAATACAATTTTCCACACTATGTATTATGATTGTATTTATATGGACCTGTGCCTAAGTAAACTTACTTAATGAACTGTACTTAAGTGTAATTGTACCTAAATAAATTTACTTAACTGTACTTATGTGTAATTGTACCTAAATAAATTTGCTTACTTAATTGTACTTAAGTGTAATTGTATCTAAATAAACTTACTTACCGACACTTGGGTGGCCTTTAACCACCATAACAAGAACCACCAGATGGCTGCCAATTTTCCGCTTATATTATACCAGTTTTGATTCCATCTGTGTTGCAATTTTTCTAATATTTGGAGCATATAAGTGGTACATCTTGAGGAGCAGGTAAAATAGAGCCTTATTCATGTTAAACTTAAAAATAGAGAGTACTGTTGCCAGTGCTGTTATGGAGGACATAACGTGGTCTGGTGGGTTAATTTATTATTTCTTAATGCCGCTGAAGGGCTCTTGATCCAGGGCATTTTGTCTGCCCTCCCATTTCCTTGGGTTTCCATTCCCCAGGTGCTATATGGCCCCCTATGGGTTTAACGCTCCCTCGTGAATGTAATATTTTTGACGTAGTTATGAAAAGTTTTTGTAACTGATTTTCCACACAGATATGAAAAGATTTGGTGCGGATTTTTAACCCCGGAGGGTTAGCCACCCAAGAAAGACATTGTGTCATCGAGGACTGTCTGTCTTATTTCCTCTCTGGTCCTTCAGTTTTGTCCCCCAGGATGCGACCCACACCAGTTGACTAACCCCCAGGTACCTACTTGCTTGCTAGGTGAACGGGACAACAGGTGTAAGGAAACATACCCAGTGTTTTCACTCTTGCCCAGGATCGAACCACGGACACTCGGGGTGTAAAGCGAACCCAGGCGCGCACAAATACAATTACATAATTATCATACATAGCAGCATGTGTGTAGATTACCCAGAGTAACTCTCCACAAAAGTCAGTGACTTATTTCCATTGGGTCCTTGTAATATCTTATTATTTAAAGCTTTAATGTTAAATCAGCTAAGTAACTCAACTGTGTGAAAAGCAGTTAGAGTAAAAGGAGATGTACTAGGAGTAAGGTAAAGTGAGTTATTTATACTATTATTATTAAAGGAGATTACATCACAGTAATAGGTATATGTATGTTAGCTATACTCTTCTCCCTTTTTGTAGCTTCATTCATTAGGTCTTCAAGAAAGTGCTGGACAGGCACCTAAGGTCAGTACCTGACCAGCTAGGCTGTGGTTTGTATGTCAATCTACATGTGGCCAGCAGTAAGAGCCTGGTTGATCAAGCCCTGATCCACTACAAGGCCTGGTCACAGACCGGGCCGCGGGGGTGTTGACCCCTGAAGCCCTCTCCAGGTATATTCCAGGTACCTTTAGTTCTATTTTCTGAACTGGCTCATGCTATGACAGGCTTTAACATGTGAAGGCAGTCCATTTCACTCCTTTATTGCTGTACTTTTAAGGCTTAAACAAAGACATTACAAGGACCTCAATAAAAATAAGTCACTTTGACTTTTTTTTTGGTTATCCTAGGTTACATGGTTATATATTTTCCCAAGTAGTTATACATGTATGTACAAAAGTGATGTTTTTTAACTATTTAATCTAAGATATCTTTACAGGTCCTGAGAAACTTTGAAATCCATCATGGTATTTTTTTTTTACTTTTCTCATCTAAGCACACTGTTTATATGAATCTTAACATGTGTAATAGACGAGGAAAACTTTATTTAGGCTATTTGAAAAGAGGGTTAGTAAGTAAGTTTATTTAGGCATAGATACAATTTTCATACATAGTGTAAATTACATAAGAACATAAGAAAGAAGGAACACTGCAACAGGCCAACTGACTCATGCGGAGCAGGTCCATGTCCCCCCCCCCCCCCGAATTAGCCCAATGACCCACCCAGCCTGGTCACCTCCAATCAAGGAAGGAGCACGGCACCAGACCCAGCAGCACAAGCTAGTCAGGTCCAACTTGCACCCACCCACACTCACTCATGTATTTATCTAACCTATTTTAAAAATTACACAACGTTTTAGCCTGAATAACTGTACTCGGGAGTTTGTTCCACTTATCCACAACTCTATTACCAAACCAGTGCTTTCCTATATCCTTCCTGAATCTGAATTTTTCCAACTTGAAACCATTGCTGTGAGTCCTGTCTTGGCTGGAAATTTTCAGCACGCTATTTACATCCCCTTTATTTATTCCTGTTTTCCATTTATACACCTCGATCATATCCCCACTAATTCTACGCCTTTCGAGAGAGTGCAGATTCAGGGCCCTTAGTCTATCCTTGTAGGGAAGATTTCTGATACATGGGATCATCTTTGTCATCCTCCTCTATACATTTTCCAGAGCATTTACAGATATCCATTCTGTAATATGGTGACCAGAACTGAGCAGCATAGTCTAAATGAGGCCTAACCAAGGATATATAGAGTTGAAGAACAACCTGAGGACTTCTATTATTTATACTTCTAGATATGAAGCCAAGAATTCTGTTAGCTTTATTGTGAACACTAATGCACTGTTGTCTTGGTTTTAGATTACTGCTAACCAGAACTCCTAAATCCTTTTCGCAGTCAGTTGTATTAAGATCTACATTATTTAGTTTTTATGTCACATGGTTATTTTCCTGTCCAATATTTAGAACTTTGCATTTGTCTATATTAAACTGCATCTGCCACTTCTCCGACCATTGCATCAGTCTATTCAAATCATCCTTGAGTGCTCTATTTTGGTTTCATCAGCAAATTTGCTTATGTTGTTATTTATTCCCTCATCTATGTCCTTTATGTAAATTGTGAACAACAACGGGCCCAACTACCACAAGACATTACTAAAGTAACCTTCAGACTACATAACGAGACAGCAGTTAACAACACTATAGCAGCTATGAATAACATCAATTGGCAAAATGAGCTTCAAACATATTCAGATATGAATGATGTATAAATAATTTTCTAGAAAAAGGCCCAATGCCTCTATAACAGACATTGCCCCAGAAAAACTAAACAGATCACAGCAAAGTGACTTAATAATCCATGGCTAACACCAAGCATCCTCAAATCCATTAACACAAAGCACAAATATGAAAAACAGTATGGAATGGGTCAAATAACTAGAGAACAGTTGAAAAATACTCATCAGCACTTACCAGCCTGATAAGGTCAAAAAAATTGTATTATGAAAATAGATTATATAACGTCAAAGGTGATATGAAAAAAACTGGAAAACTCTATCTGAAATTCTTGGAACTAAAAATTATCCAAAAACAAAGCAATCAAACTAACAAAATCAGATGAACCCCTACTCACTCCAACCGAAACAGCAAAGAGACTTAATGTTTTCTCCACCATAGGAAAAAATCTAGCAAACAAAATACCAAGCACAAACGCCCATCCATCAGACTACCTCATAGGAGCCTACCCAAATATGCTATTCCTAGCTGCAACCAACCCCACTGAAGTTATGCTCATCATAAACACCCTTAAAAACAAGGCAGGAGACATAAAACATTGCCTGCTTTTATGTACAAAAAGCTTCTCAAGTATTGTCACCAATTATTGCAATGCTCTTTAACAAATCCATTGAATCATCTACTTTCCCAACAATCCTCAAAATAGCGAGGGTCACTCTGATCCATAAAGGAGGTGACCAAGCTGACTTGAATAAATATAGACCAATATCTAACTTACCACTGCTCTCTAAAATCTTTGAAAAATTAATTCATAGACGGATCTATTCCTACCTCGTTTCACACAACATATTAAACCCTTGTCAGTTTGGATTCAGGAATAATAAAAGCACAAATGACGCTATCATACACATGCTAGAACTAATATATACCGCACTTGAAAAGAAAGAAGCCCTGCTGGACATTTTCATTGATTTACGTGAAGTTTTCGATACAGTCGACCATGAACTACTGTACTCCAAATTAATGCACTATGGTATCAGAGGCCACTCCCTCAACTACCTAAAGTCATACCTTAGTAACAGAACTCAATATATGTATGCAAATGATGCAAACTCCTCCACCCAACCAATCACAGTAGGAGTCCCACAAGGAAGCGTCCTTGGACCACTCCTCTTTCTCATCTACATCAATGATCTACCGAATGCATCACAGCTACTCAAACCCATGTTATTTGCAGATGACACTACATACGTATATTCCCACTCAAACGCAGCCATACTAGCAAACACAGTCAATGCTGAATTACAGAAAATATCTGCCTGGATGATGACTAACAAACTTACACTGATAAAACCTATTTCATTCAGTTTGGAAACAAAGCTGCAAATTATCCAATTAATATTACGCTAAATGGATCATCAGTCACAAGACTCAGAGGGAAAATTCCTAGGTATCCACCTTGACAGTAGCCTTAAGTTCTGGACACACATACAACAAGTCACCAAGAAAATCTCCAAGACTGTAGATATACTATCAAAGAAAAGGTACTACGTTCCACAATCAGCTCTCCTGGCACTGTACCATTCACTCGTATACCCTTATCTTACATATGGAATTTGTGCATGGGGATCAACAACATTAAATCACCTAAAACCCCTAATAACCCAGCAAAAGGCAGCAGTAAGAATAACAAATTCCCACTCCTGCCAGCATACTCCACCAATTTTCAAAAGTCTGAATCTGCTTACCATTAAGAACATCCATACTTATTCATGTGCCTACTACATACACAGAACAATACATGCAAATATAAACCCCCCCCCTCAAACTTTTCCTCACCAACCTAAACAGGACACATGACCACAACACAAGACACAGATCTCTTTTTGATATACCTCGTGTCCATATCACACTGTGCAAAAACTATGTACATAAAGGGCCCCAAAATATGGAATTCATTACCAGAAGATGTTAAAGTAACCCAGTCTGAAAATCAATTTAAGTGGCTTTTGAGAAGAGTCTTAATCACCCTAGACTAAATGCTAAATACTCAGTACACATTTACTCACCTATGTACTCCCACATCATAACTGAAACAATCACATTGAACCTTTTATCCATTGTTGACAGGAATATAATTGAATCATTGTTTTTCACAAAAGCATTTTAGAATGTAAATATATCTTTGTATTATACAATATTTGATTCATTTGTAATTAATATACTACTGTACAACTATGTAATAATTACTTTCCTACTGTACAAATATGATATACTACTCCTTGGTATTAAGCAGAATATAAGCCAATAATGTTAAGTTGGCCCATAATGCCAAGGCATAATAGAGGCTCTCTTTACATTGCAGCCCACTATTGTATATACACAATCTCAATGTACTGTTTGCAAAGACATTAAATAAATAAATAAAAAATAAACACTGACCCCTGAGGAACACTGCTTGTGATGTGCTCCCATTCTGATTTCTCCCCATTTATGCAAACTCTCTGCTGCCTATTTGTCAGCCATGTCTCTACCCAGGAAAAAATTTCTCCTCCTATTCCATGTGCCTTAACCCTTAAACTGTCCAAGCAGATCTTCGTTCACATGCGTAGTGCTCCAAAAGTAGATTATGTTTTTTTTACATATTTTCAAATATAAAAAAAAAAAAAGTAATCAAAGTTTTTTTACACTTTTTCAAATGTAAAAAAAGAAAAGAAGATCTACTTTTTTTTTACATACTTTCAAATGTTGAAAAAAGTAGATCTACATTTGGACAGTTTAAGGGTTAAGTTTTCTCAGTAGCCTCTGATGTGGAGCTCTATCGAAAGCCTTACTAAAGTCCATATACACAGTATCATATTCATTACCATGATCTACCTCCTCAAACACCTTAGTGAAAAATGTTAGTAAATTCGTAAGACAGGAATGCCCCTTTGTAAAACCATGTTGAGATTCATTAATCAATCTGTGCCTATCAAGATGGCTGCGAATTGCTTCGGCAATTATTGATTCTATAAATTTTCCCACTATGGAAGTAAGGCTTGTTGGTTTATAGTTCGAGGCCAAGGACCTGTCACCTGCCTTGTAAATAGGTATTACATTTGCCATTTTCCACTTATCAGGCACTATGCCAGTTTGTAGTGATATGTTAAAAAGATTAGCCAAAGGTATACTAAGTTTCTCTTTACATTCCTTTAACACCCTTGCAAACAGTTCATCAGGGCCTGGGGATCTGTTAGGTTGTAGTTTCTCTATTTGTCTGAGGACCATGTCACTAGTTACCGCAATCGTACATAGTTTATCATCATCCTGTTCTACATAATCTATTATTTCAGGAATATCGCTAGTATTTTCCTGGGTGAAAACTGAGAGGAAGTAGGTATTGAGAATTTCACACATATCCCTATCACTGTCAGTGATCTGACCAGAGTTACTCTTAAGTGGACAAATCTTGTCCCTAATCTTACTTCTGTATACCTGAAAGAACCCTTTTGGGTTAATCTTTGAATCCCTTGTGGCCTTAGTCTCATAATCCCTTTTGCTTTTCTTATTCCTTTCTTTATTTCTCTCTCTAATTGAATATATATTGATTTCTTAACTGCCCATCCCCTCTTTTGATACGCTTATATATGCCTAGGCTAACCCAAAAAAAAAGTCAAAGTGACTTATTTCCATTAAGCTCCTTGACTTGGAATCACCCAAGAAAACCATTGTGGCTTATTTCCATTGGGCTTACATGGTCACCTATCACAGGGTGTGACCCACAACAACTGGCTAACACCCAGGTACCTACTTACAGTACTGCTAGTTGAACAAAAGTAGAAAGTGTAAGGAAACATGCCCTATATCTCCAATTGCTCGAGGACTGTACCCAGGCCCTTTAGTTGTGAGCCTAAGGCTGGCAGTGACCTCTGATCCTGTTTTAAGATTTTAGAGTTGGAGCACGTGAAAATGGCTATACAGTGAATCCCCGGTTTTCGTCTTTAATCTGTTCCAGAAGGTCGGCTGAAAACCGATTTGTACGAAAACTGAAGTAATATTTCCATAAGAAATAATGTAAATCCAGTTAATCTATTCCAGACACCCAAAAATGTTAACAAAAAATACATTTTATAGAGATTAACTATAGTTTTACATACAGAAAACAGTGAGAAATAAAAATAAATGACTAATGAAATGGATAAATGAACATTTAACATTGCTTTTATCTTTATTGAAGACTCCTGTTGGCATATGGAAGACAGCTAGGACAGGAGAGGGAGGAGAGGTTATTGTTTGGAAAGGGAATCCCCCTCCATAAGAACTTCAGGTATCAAAGCCCTATCTGGGGTTACTTCCCTTCTTTGTCTCTTACTGGCACTAGGACCAGCTTGAGAGTCTCTGGACCCGTCACACAAAAAATCTGTCCAGAGGCGCCTGTTTCTGGCGTCTCTTTAAGATTTGCCTAAAATGGAACACGGCATTGTCTTTGAACATGTTGCTGACATGGCTTGCAACAGCTTTGTTAGGGTGATATTTCTCCAGAAAACTTTGCACCTCACTCCACTTTGCACAAATGTCCTTAATTGCTGAAGAAGGCACATTCTCCCCTCTCTCTTCCTCCTCCTCTGAAGCAATTTCCTAAGCTAATTCTATTGCTGTTCCAGATAAATGTCTTGTTTCGGAGGAACACGAGGAGTAATGCTCACTGAACGACTAACAAAGGTAGACTGAGTCACGAATATATGACCGGCCGCGTCCTGCGGGCAGGCGGACGCATCTGGTATGGATGATTTCCAAGCGGATGTACGAAAATTGGGAAAATCTTGCTGAAAAAGTGGTCGAAAACTGAATTGTATGATAACCGGACTGGACGAAAACCAGGGTTCCACTGCAATTGTGTCTTATTTCCTAAAACCTAGTAATGCAGGGTGACACAATCTTGTTTTGCTGTAAAATACACCTACCATCTGACTTACGACCTGCTTGACATACGACCACTCGACTTACGACCATGTTTTTTATGCCAAATTTCTGGGATATAAACAACTGTTTATGTTGTACACAGTGTTTATCCTAAACCTTACTTTGTAAAATACAGTACTAACAGCATAAAAAGTAAAGTAAAAAATGAAATGCTAAAATAAAAGCAGTAAAATAAAATCATTACAAAAGTGTGATGTTGATATTCACTAGTAAGGTTTGACTTACGTCCATTTTGACTTACGACCGGTTGGTCGGAACCAAGCTTGGTCGTAAGTTAGATGGTACCTGTACACATGCAGTTCTGTTTATTGTAATGTGCATTAAATATTTGTTAATTATTAGTGAAACCTTGATTTAATGGGAATGGGGTGTCAGTCAGCTGTCCATTAAATCTGAATGATTGTTTTTTCTGTGATTGTAACAGTCACTGACAGTTCTGGATTTAAGACTTTGCCTATTAAATATGAAACGAAGTTAGTCAGTGGACTGTAACAAAAATGGAGAATTTTGAATTTAGGGCTGTGTGTTATTGACGACCATTGTTTGACCACTGATTTTGTTTAATCTGAAATCCACTAAATCGGGGTTTGTTGATTACCATTTTAAGTATTTCACTACATGGTACTATACAGTGGAACCTCAGTATTCCAACTTAATTTGTTCCAGAAGGCTGTTAGAGTGCTGATCTCTTTGAGTACCAAACAAATTTTTCCCATAAGGAATAATTATAATAATTTTTCATCTCTATTGTGACTAACCAATTCTCTTTTTGGTTGGCTGTTACCTCTAATCTTCTTAGGCCCCATGGTGACTTATTTATACAAATAATATAAAAAACATCAAACAAATGCAAAGAAACATGAAATAGTTTACAGCGGAGTTTTGCACTGAGCGACAGCTGTGGGGAGACTGACACACATTGTTTGGTTGAGTGTTTTATGAAGACCTTGGAGAGGAAAATGTAGCTGTAATAAATCTCTCTTAATTAGTCATGTCATTTTGACCTGACACGTACGAATTTAAACATTTGAGTGTAAATATGTGGTATAAAGAGAAAATTCCAGAAGTCTGCATTTACCCCACACTGTTCAATTCAATATTCATTATATAACATGGTTCCTTCTTATCTTGTATCTTTTCAGATGTAACTAAGAATGTTGTATTTTTGTCCCACTTGCGCAAATCTACTGATCGTGGAGGAGGGCTCACAGGTAAGGGATTTAATATTTAGTTTGTCAGTTTTCATGTGTATTTTTGTCTTCAAAATTTATAATAAACATTTTCCCTGTTAAAGAAGATGAAAATGATAAAATGTTATTGCCCAAACAATTGTTAATTTTCTTTTCAAAATATGAATTTTATATACCTCAATTTTTTCTTACAGGGTATGCGCTTCTCTTGTGTCACCTGTCCATATGTTTTCCCAATCAAGAGATGTGTGTCATACAAGATTTACCCTAAAATGAAGGCACTTGATGATGTTCTTGGAGGTTCAGCTGCTTGGAAAAACGTTGATTCTACTGATGAACCTTGCCCTAAGTGTGCTCACCCTAGAGCCTACTTCATGCAAGTGCAGACAAGATCGGCTGATGAGCCTATGACTCTGTTCTACAAATGCTGCTCACCTACTTGTGGTCATCGCTGGAAAGAATAAAATCTATCACTGATTGAGTATAGTCTGTTTTTATCTGCTACTGTAAATCTTATGAACATAAAAGTGACTGTTGGAATATATATTAGTATCATCTGATGAAAATTTTTACCTTATTTTTGCAATTGGCCAAATCATTGGGCACTGCAGCAGCAGAGGCTGCACCTAATGGTCTTTCGATGAGCAATGTAACTCGTTTATGGGAAGGGCCTTCCTTAGCCACTCATGCTGAGAAAGCTTCAGCTGCATTGCTTTCTGGCCATGTTATTGCAGTGCCAACTGATACACTGTATGGGATTGCTGCATTAGCTCAGAACAATACAGCTATAGAAAGAATTTATGAAATCAAAAGGCGTAGTTCAACCAAACCACTAGCTATTTGTGTATCGACAGTGGAAGACATTTATCTCTGGGGCAAAGTAACTGTACCACATTCATTACTTACTTCATTGCTACCAGGGCCAGTTACATTGGTATTTCAGCGCACAAAACAACTTAATTTGGCATTTAATCCTGGTACTGATTTAGTTGGTATTCGTATTCCCAATGAGGATTTTATAAGAGCTGTAGCCAGATGCTGTAGCTCTCCCTTAGCTTTAACAAGTGCAAATATCAGTAGTAAAGCTAGCCCTGTGTGTGTGGAAGAGTTCAGTGAGCTCTGGAGTAAGCTTCATGCTGTGTTTGACAGTGGCCATCTTGGTGAGCACTTGGAAAGTCGAGAAGGATCAACAATTGTTGATCTCTCACAGCCAGGCACATATAGACTTATTCGAAGAGGAATTGCCTATGAACAGACTTCAAAAATTCTCCAGAGTTATGACCTTTGTTTAACTGATTAACATTTGCAAGTAACTATTGAACTTGTGCTGTATTGTGACTACTGTACTGCATTGAGATACATTTGAAGCTTGCTATTAATCTACTAAAGGAAAAGTAAACAGTAAGATGTTTAGTCAGCATCTGAAACGTGAACGTAGGGAGGCGAGCATCAGTGCCTCCCTGGTTACTAGACTACAGGAAGCAGTGCAAAGTGTCCTACAGCCTGGGGGTGCTGATTGTAATTATGGTGTGCAAAATACTGTTAGTGGAGCTCTTGGACCAATTATTGGGCATTCAGACAATACAAATGCCCTGTGTAATGTGTTAGAAGCAATATTTATTCATGGTTTACGTGATTCCTTGGGGGAACGAATGTCGTCTTTCCTAGGCTCTGATCCTGACCGAATGCCTGTCCCTAACTTCTGGCCAGTTGTGCTGATCATAAGTCACAGAGATCTCATAGAGCAAGTGAGTATTTATGTTTAGAAATATACATATATGCATATAATACAGCCTCTCCTCACTTAACGACGGGGTTCTGCTCCTAAGAGTAGATCAGTAAGTGAATTGGTCGTTAAGCGAGGAGCATACTGTACTAGGAGTGGGTTTGTTTCGACCAAATTTAGTTTTAAATCTTTATACAAAGGTGTACTGTATACTGTAATAAACAGAATAGAGGAAATCAACTCTGTTATACATTACTTAGGTCTGCATACTGATTGGAGAGCTGATCGGAAGCCTGAGCAGTCAGTAAACAAGTACATATGTCGCTAAGTGAGGAGAGGCTGTATTACCTTCCTACCCTTCGAGGGGGTGCCTTGATACTGGTGAAGGGCCCTTAATTCAAGGAACTGGAGTCACCTTCCCCTTCAGATACAACTTGATTACCTCTCAGTTTCCAAGTGCTGTATGACCTCTGCAGGTTTAATGGTTCTCTTTGATTATAATAACAATAATAATTATCATGATGGTTTCAAGTGCTAGGGGCTTGTGCAATCATGTTAGATTGGAGTGGAGAAAAATGGCTTCTTATGGCTTGATGTGTTTTTGGAGTGAGCATTGTAACATTATGAAGGGATTCGGGAAAACAGTTTGTTAAGCTTGATTCTTGGAGGTGGAAAGCACAGTGCTTACATTCAAGAGGAGGCATAAGGATGTTTCAATTTCATGGATCATCTAAACTGTGCTGTCCACACATTTCTGGCACAATAGTAATTGAATAAATGGTGACTCTCTGCTTATTTTTGGGTGACCCTACCTTTGTGGGGACTGCTGGTATGTTTAAAAATATATCCACATTTTGTATATATATGTATATGAATGTAATTCTGCTTGACAGGTTAGTGAGCTGTCATTCATCAGTAGTGAAGTGGGAAGGAGTCGAGCATGGGTACGTCTGGCTATTAATCAGGGTCAGATCTGTAGCTACCTCAGCGTGCTGCTCCATGACTCTCGCACTTTAAAGGACTACTACAGGTGAGTAGGAGACACAACACTCCATTATGAACCATCCACTCCTCCTCCTTAATAGAAAGTTAACAGTATATACAACTTGTATGCACAAACTGTTTAGGAAAAGTCTGTTTAAGACATATATGACAAAATTTTCATGGGCACCTTTTGAAAGCAGTGCAGTGTGCAGTAGACCATCAATTTGAGACATGATGTTCTTGGATGTTTTCAATAAGTGCCTCATCAAGTACTTTCCTGGTGGGTAGATTCAGCTTTAGATAAAGAGGAAATACTGTAAACACTATTATAAACACTGAAGAGTAGTGAGATCAAAGAATTCTCTAGTGATGAGTGCCTTGAATGATTTACAGGTGTGTAGTATCTATCTACTAACTGGGTAAGTAATACAAATTTTTTGACTCTGCATTATTGATGTACCTGGACCAGACAAAGTATCACCATGGTTTCTAAGTGAAAGTGCAAACAAACTTAAGTTATCCTTGGTAGAAAGGCTTTGGGCTTGCAGTACAAGAGGGTAAACTGAAATACAGTGGTCCCTTGATAATAGTCATGCTCAATAGTCGTCCTTTTCGGAAATCGTCGCATTATTTTAGTCCAAACATTGGCTCACAAATGGTCGGTTGACTCGCTAATCGTTGTTCGCCCTGGACGCGTACTCGTGGCTCTGAGCCACCTTGGCCTCCCTTCCCAGCCAGTGTGCCATTGTTCACCAGTGAGCAACGGTCCCCTCATGTGTTCATACGAAATATTTCATAATATTCCATTCATTTTAGTGCTTGCAAGTGCTAAATAAGCTACCATGGCTCCAAAGAAAGCTCCTAGTGCCAAGCCTTTGCTAAAGAAGGTGAGAAGTATGATTGAATTTAAGAAAAATATCATTGAACAATGTGAAAGTGGCGTACGTGTGGCTGAACTGGCCAGGATGTATAACAAATCCCGTACAACCATATCTTCCATCGTGGCCAAGAAAAAGGAAATCAAGGAAGTTGTTGTTGCAAAGGGGGTAAATATGCTGACAAAAATGAGATCACCAGTACTCGAAGAGGTTGAGAAGTTATTATTGGTGTGGATAAACGAGAAACAATTAGCAGGAGATAGTCTTATGACGTCGATTATTTGTGAAAAGGCTAGGCAGTTGCATGATGATCTGGTAAAGAAATTGCCTGCAACGAGTACTGATATTTGTGAATTTAAGGCCAGAAAAGGTTGGTTTGAGAGATTTAAGAACCGTAGTGGCATACACAGTGTGATAAGGCATGGTGAGGCTGCCAGTTCGGAGAAAATTGCAGCTACAAAATTCATAAGTGAATTCAAGGAGTACATAGAGGCTGAAAGATTGAAACCTGAACAAGTGTTCAATTGTGATGAAACAGGCCTCTTTTGGAAGAAAATGCCAAAGAGGACCTACATTACTCAGGAGGAAAAGGGACTGCCAGGTCACAAGCCTATGAAAGACAGGCTGATGCTCATGTTCTGTGCTAATGCTAGTGGGGATTTAAAAGTGAAGCCGTTACTAGTGTACCATTCTGAAAATCCAAGAGTGTTCCAAAAAAACAATGTTATGAAGAGTAAATTGTGTGTGTTTTGGAGATCTAATAATAAGGCATGGGTCATGAGGGAAATTTTCGTCGAGTGGTTCAATGAAGTGTTTGGCCCTAGTGTGAAGAATTACCTCCTGGAAAAGAAATTGGATCTCAAGTGCCTCCTAGTAATGGACAGTGCACCTGCTCATTCTCCAAACTTGGATGACCTAATTCTGCAGGAGTTTGGGTTCATCACAGTAAAGTTCTTGCCCCCGAATACCACTCCTCTCCTCCAGCCCATGGACCAGCAGGCCATTTCAAACTTTAAAAAACTCTGTACCAACGCAATGTTTCAAAGGTGCTTTAATGTGACCTCAGACACTCACTTGGCCCTAAGAGAGTTTTGGAAAGAACACTTCAGTATCCTCCATTGCATAAGCCTTATAGGTAAGGCTTGGGAGGGAGTGACTATCAGGACTTTGAACTCTGCTAGGAGAAAATTGTGGCCAGATGGTGTCCACAAGAGGGATTTTGAAGGGTTTGTGGCTGACCCTGATGAGCCTATGTCAGTTGGGAACTCTATTGTGGCATTGGGGAATTCCATGGGGTTGGACATTAGTTTGGAGGATGTGAAAGAGATGGTGGAGGACCAAAATGAAGAGCTAACCACCGAGGAGCTTTAAGAGCTTCAGCAGGAACAGCAACAGATCGCAGCTCAGAATCTTGCTGCAGAGGAGGAGGAAGAGAGATGGAAGAAGGTGCCTTCTTCAGAAATTAAGGAGATTTTTGAAATGTGGGGTAGGATGGAAAGATTTATGGAGAAACATCACCCTGAGAAGGATGTTGCAAGCCATATCGGCAACTTGTACAGTGACAAGAGTCTTGGCCCATTTTAGGGAAGTTTTAAAGAGACGCCAGAAACAGAGCTCTCTGGACACTTTTTTTTACAAGACAGGACTCCAGTGACTCTCGAGCTGTCCCTAGTGGCATTAAGAAACAGAGAAGTAACCCCAGAAAAGGACTTGGTACCTAAGGTGTTGATGGAAGGGGATTCGCCTTCCAAACAGTAACTAATCCAATCTCTCTCCTCCTCCTCCTCCAGTCTTCCATTCACTAAGAAGAATCGCCAATAAAGATAAGTGTTATGCTGTTAATGTTTCATTCATCATGTCCCATTGTATTGTTTGTGTACTACATCTATATTTCATGTAAAAAAAATTTTTGTTTTAATACTTCTGGGTGTCAGGAATGGATTAATTGTATTTACATTATTTCTTATGGGGAAAATTGATTCGAAAATAGTCTTTTTCGATAATCGTCGCACTTCCAGGAATGGATTAACGACGATAAACGAGGGACCCCTGTATTAAGTTTTTTTGACAGTCAGAGTGAAATTGTGATTACCATGGTTAGTGAGAAACTGATTGGTTCACTGTTGCAATCTTGGCAGTGAAAAGGCATAATTAATTATTTTATTGTCTGATCTTTCATAATTCTGTAATGGGCATACCTCTATTAGGTTATGTATTTTAAATGCAGAATGAAGTGCAAT